CAATGTAAAGTCGTGTATGTAAACAGTTCCTCATTCTTCATGTAGAAATAGCCGTGATAACGGCCTCCTCCTAACAGTATTAAGTTTCTAGCGTGTCAATTTCGAAGTTTACTTATGCAAATATATGTAAACAATATATATATATCGCTGGTAACCATTGGATCTATACAAAATATAGGCCCGCATTACTTTCATGAGACTCCAAGTACAGCTATGATTTTGTTTCTTTGTCGCCACCTTCTGGATGTTTATCATAGATTCTCTGACATTTTAATTGTCTTGTTCTTCCCCAGTCTTATCATTTTTTTTAATATTAAGGCTCAGACATTTTTATCATTATCACTGATATTTTGTCACTTACTAGTTTCCCTAAATTCTCAAGTTTTAGTCGACTTTTAGTTACTTGATACTCGTTTTTTATAATGGGACCTTTGTCCTATTTCTTTATCACTTAAGCTCTTTAACTTTAGCATTTTAAGCAGTTAGTCAACATTAAACCATATGTTTCATGGGTAGAAATGATTTTAATATTTTAAGCAGTTAGTCAACATTAAACCATATGTTTCATGGGTAGAAATGATTTTAATATTTTAAGCAGTTAGTCAACATTAAACCGTATGTTTCATGGGTAGAAATGATTTTAATATTTTAAGCAGTTAGTCAACATTAAACCATATGTTTCATGGGTAGAAATGATTTTAATATTTTAAGCAGTTAGTCAACATTAAACCATATGTTTCATGGGTAGAAATGATTTTAATATTTTAAGCTAGATATTAGTGTGTTATTTAGTATAGTAAACCTCGGTTTCTTGTACTTGTGTAAGAACTGTTTTGTTCTGATACAGGAGTAATGCTTCTACTAGCATAACGTTAACACGATTGGTTTCTTCGTGTTTTCTAATTATTCTTCCTTTGTATTGTCGTATGTATATAAATATGTCAAATCTGTATTTTTTTCGTCTTCTGTTTATTGTTTTACGATATGTATCTTTTACTTCTTGAATGTTTACGTCCTGTAAATCTTCACTGTATGAAGATATAAATCCAGTTTTTGTTTCACGTTTTGTCATTTCATTGTATTGAGATATAAATCTGTTAAACCCAGTTTTTGTTTTCTGTTTAGTCAGTTTATGTATTGAGATATAAATCTGTCAAACCTAGGTTTTCCTTTATTTTATCAGTTTGTTGCATAGAGATATAGATCTGTCAATCCCATATTTTGTTTTGTGTTTTGTCAGTTTATATATTAAGATATAAATCTGTTAAACCCAGATTTTGTTTCACGTTTTGTCAGTTTATATATTTTGATATAAATCTGTTAAACCCAGATTTTGTTTTGTGTTTTGTCAGTTTATATATGGAGATATAAATCTGTCAAACCCAGATTTTGTTTTGTGTTTTGACAGTTCATTGTATAGAGATATAAATCTGTCAGATCTAAAGTTTGTCTTGTTTTTGTCAATCTTCATTCTATTACCAAACTATCTTTTCGATCTAGAATTTCATTGTTTTCTACTCTTCAATCTTCAAGTACCTTTTTAATCTCTCCATAAGGGTTAGTTTTCACTTGTATTCCTTTTTTGCGTCTTTCTCTCCGAGCTGCGTTTATAACATTACATTAAAAGTTCATTTTCTGAAATGTTTAAAGTTTTTTCAGCTTAAATTGCTGTTTTTTTTCCTCTTTCAGTCTTCCCATGGTGTTAATATTTTCACTAGTGTAATTAAGCCTAGACGTTCGATGACTTTTTCTGTAGTTACGTGTGCTCAGACAGACACATATATCCAAAGTGAACGTTATCCCAACTCCAGTATACCACACAGTGGCAGTTTAGATAATTTCATTATTTCTTACCACACGGTCTCTAATATACACCATAGTAACAGTTGGATAATGTCAAGTAACAGTTGGATAATGTCATTATTTCTTCTCACACAGTCTCTAATATACACCATAGTAACAGTTGGATAATGTCATTATTTCTTATCACACGGTCTCTAATATACACCATAGTAACAGTTGGATAATGTCATTATTTCTTATCACATAGTCTCTAATATACACCATAGTAACAGTTTGATAATGTCAAGTAACAGTTGGATAATGTCATTATTTCTTCTCACACAGTCTCTAATATACACCATAGTAACAGTTGGATAATGTCATTATTTCTTATCACACGGTCTCTAATATACACCATAGTAACAGTTGGATAATGTCATTATTTCTTATCACACGGTCTCTAATATACACCATAGTAACAGTTGGATAATGTCATTATTTCTTATCA